TGTTTTCTCATGCAGTTGCTAATTTTCATGCAGCACACACATATATACAATTCCAATCATAATACTTTACATAATTCGAATAACACAACAACAAAAAACAACTTGAGAGAAAACTCAAATTAATATAACACACTCACCAATTAATATTGAATTGCATTGAAAATTAAGTAGGACCCACGGTCACAATTGATGTATAGTTAAAGTTGCTGAAGTGGCAATTGGGACCATATATTTGCTCGGTGTTGGAAACTTGAACTGAAACTGGAAGTCCTCCTATGCCGAGTCGTTTGGTATATAAGAAGATTGTTGGCTCTTGCGGTGTCGTTTAATTTATGTACTCATTAATGGTCAGTTAAAGGCAATTTTTAAGCACTCTAAATAAATCATGTGCAACATTTCAGTTGAATAATCTTGAGAACTAGTTTTTTTATTCAATTATTATATCGTATTTTTTGCACTAATTTTGAGCACTCATTAAATGGGTAGAGCATGTGGCGACAGAGGAGCAGAGTTCGAAATCCGGCAAAAAATCCGGTTGGCCCAATCGTAAAGACTTCTAAAAATGGAGTCAGTAGTCAACAAATAAAGTACAGTATTTTTATTGGAAGTGTAGGATCCCCTACAGATTTAGAAGATCTCAAACGCTAATAGTACAAAGTACAATATTTTTATTGGGAGTGTAGGATCCCCTGCAGATTTAGAAGATCTCAAACGCTAATAGTACAAAGTACAGTATTTTTATTGGGAGTGGAGGATCCCTCGCAGATTTAGAAGATCTCAAACACTTTTGGAAGCCGCCATGGAAGCGAAGAGAGAAGCAGAAGAAAAAATAACAAAACAGTATACAAATATAAACAAATGTTACATATAGTCCAACAAAAAAAAAAGCTGTACTTTCCCTCCCTATTTTATCCTATTATACATATGGCAACTTTCCCATCTTGTATACATTTTGGGAGCATGATCAACAAGTACGCGTCAATGTCGCCCAAAAGAATCACCACATGAAGTAGGGTTCCACAACACCTATTATGGAATCGTAACAACATGTGATGATTCTTTCGGCGATATTCAGATGGCGACTTATTGTCATTGCTCCCCTCCCTGCCTCTAACAAAGACCCTGCATGGAGAGAAAAGGAGAAACAATACAACGAAGGATTTAGTTTAACAGTCATGATCTAACAATGACATAATGAAAGGAAATGAGATCTAAAATAATACGCAGTCTCATAATTACCACTGCACCCGAAAATAAAGCATGGGATAGGAGGACGAAGAGGCGGATGGGGTTGATTTTCGGAGCATGATAAACAAGTACGCGTCAATATCGCACAAAAGAACCACCATATGATGTAGGGTTCCACAACACCTATTATGGAATCGTAACAACATATGATGATTCTTCCGGCGATATTCAGACGGCGACTTATTGTCATTGCTCCCCTCCCTGCCTCTAACAAAGACCCTGCATGGAGAGAAAAGGAGAAACAATACCACGAAGGATTTAGTTTAACAGTCATGATCTAACAATGACATAATGAAAGGAAATGAGATCTAAAATAATATGCAGTCTCATCATTACCACTGCACCCGAAAATAAAGCATGGGATAGGAGGACGAAGAGGCGGATGGGGTTGATTTTCGGAGTTTCATATTGAGAAGATGGAAGAAAGGGTTCTTTTCAGGGATTGAGAGGAGGAGGAACGAACAGCAGCAGGAGATGAGTGCCACTCGGGTTTCGGAGCACGGTCTCTCCTTCACTGATTAACGAATTTAAAGATTGACTCGTAATTACTTTTACTTTCCCTCCCTTCACATTTACTGAAAATTACACTCCCTACCACTGCCTCGGCCTTGGTAACGCCAGCATTGGTTATGGGCAAAAGCGACTTTCCGAATTCGGCAATATCTGATTGGGTGACACGCACGCGACAAGGATTGAAGGTATTTCACCATCGGATTAAGGGAAAAGTTTAGGAATTGACGGTGGGAAATGGGGATGTGCTTTTATAAATAGTCTGAATTTGTAGATTAACCAACTTTTTCGTTTACCAACATTACTCTATTGATCTGGTTTATGTTATTCTAGCTTGAATCATAACCCTAAACCCTAAACCCTAAACCAAACCCTAATACACGAACCAATCAATACCATATACTCTACAACAATAACAACACCTTATAGGCTTATATCGTAACCAATCAATAACATATATACTTTAAACCATCAACACCTTGCTCCTCCCTTATACCATAACCTTCAAGACCTTATACTGTATACCAACAACACCTTCTTCTATCTCCATCCCCAACTTTCAATTTATAATAAGTGTTTCCTTTGAAATATAAAATGGAACCCACCTTGGCAATTGCTAGCATAATTTAGGGATGTAGATGAATAGAAATTGATAAGTGATGAATTGCTAAAATTGATGATGTGGCGGTAGGGACCTCGTTTAGAAATTGTTGTTCAATTTTAGGGATGAAGATGATCAATACACTAACCCAATACCATATACTCTAAACCATCAACACCTTATACAATATCGTATTTTAGGGATGGAGATGATCAATACACTAACCCAATACCATGTACTCTAAACCATCAACACCTTATACAATATCGTATACCTATACGCTGATAAATTAAAATTATAACTTGCTTTTCAAAACATAAATTAAAAATTGATACTCACTAAGTATCGAACCACAAACCTCTACTTTATTGACTAAGCAAATAACGGACAATTAACCAATTAAGCTACATCACATTGATGACCATTTTGCATAATTTCGCTTTCTTATTAAGTGAAGGGTTAAAATGAACGATAAATATATCACAGGGGATTGTTTCAACTTCGGCGGGGACTGAGAGAGTGGAAAAGGGGTAATTATTCTACCAAAAAAGAAAAGAAAAGGGGGAATTAACAAAGAGTTAAATTGGACGGATTGTCTTTAGCACGCCACTACCACCCAAAATCCTTCGGAGCAAAGACGTGTTGGTTCAAGTCAAAGAATAAATGAAGAAAGATGAAGTTAAGAACTCTAACTAATTTTGATTCCATATGTGGCGAATCGCTAATGGGCGGGATAACCAACATGGCAAAATCGTTAATGAGAACCTACTTTGCACACACCAAATCATTTTATCTCGTACCGATAAATGTGTAAAGAGACACGCTACAATAATTATGTCTAAATTTCCTGATAATAAGGCATGATCAGCATTTATAAGAAGATGTTAAGACAATATAAATCGAGAAAAATTAAAACAACACCTACCCTCAGCCGAATCAATCAATACAATATGCTCTGGACCATCAACAATTCAACACCTTATAAACCATCCCATATACCATATACTCTAAACCATATACCATATACCATATACTCTAAATCATCAACAACCTAATACACTAACCAGTCAGTAATCATTAACTTAACCATAAACACCTTATACAATAATCGCATACCTATACGCTGATAAAATTTTACATTTTGAAAATACTTGCCCAAGTAAAGTACACAAGTACTTCAAAAGCGAAATTCTAACTTTCGTTTCAAAACATAAATTTAAAAAATGTCCTCACTAAGTATCTAACCACACGCCTCTAATTAGTCTCCAAGAGGTTTGTTATGTCAAGAGGGGCAAACAGTGAGAGAGTGGAATAGGGGCAATTAATAAAGAGTTAAATTGGGCGGATTGTTTTTTACCTCGTACCGATAAATGTGTAAATAGACACGCTACCATTTACCGAATCCCAAAAAAAAAAGATGGAACACATAATTGTGTTTAAATTGCGTGAACGCAAGACATGATCAGCGTTTAGAAGCAGAAGCAGACGCAGATGTAAATAAAAGCCCAACTAGACTTTGTCCTAAACGCACCGTTAATACATAAACACAAGTTAAGGCGACCTCTCCATCTGATTCGAATCAAATTCTGTCTTCTTCCTCAATTAGGTCGAAGACTGTGTTGCTTATTTCATCTTCAATTTGTGTAAATTCCAGTCGGAAATAAAATGGCGAAGAACAAAACGTCGATTGTGGATACAAGGAAACGATGATTATGTGGAGATTTTAGATTCCGGTCGGAAATAAAATGGCGAAGAACAAAACGTCGATTGTGGATACAAGGATTTGTGGTTCATAATGATGATTATGTGGGGATTTTATATTGAAAAGGGATCTTCTCTTCGAACGTGGATACATAGATTTGGGGTTCAAAACATGATGATGTTGGGGATTTGATATTGGATTGGGAGCTAAATCGAATGTCGATCAAATGATAAAAGGATTTGAGATTTAAGATTTCAGAAACGATGATAAAAGGATTATGTTCGAACTTCGAACTAAGAGGGGACGTCCCCTCCAAGACGAATGAGGGACTAGAAATTGGTTAGGGCGGCGGGTCGTATCCATAGGGTTTAACCTCTTAATCGATATAATTAAACCGGGTACAGTTAGGTTGAAGTCCAATGAACAACGCTTAAACGCTTCGTGATGCTTTTGGTAATTTTCCTTGCCCCCGGTTACCCGTACCCTGGATTTTGCCCTAGGCACCCTAGAACTGCACATATATATATGTTGGGGGTGTTGCTAAGAGACTCCCCACAGAGACTAAGTAATACCGCGTCTAATCGACAACGTATGACGCTCTAAACCCGCTACGAGTATATAAAGGTATGAAACCCACCAAGGAAAGGGACTTCTCTCTCTCCCCTCACTTTCCACTTTCTACTATCTCTCTACATTTTATCTCTTTATCTATTCTCTCAACTCTCCCCACAAACATACACTGACTTGATCGCCGGAGCTTAATCCGGGGGGCAACCCCGGCTCTTTCACAGGTTCTCTCCTTCCCGACGAGATCGGACGAACAGATGACGAGTCAACCCACACCAACAAATATCATTGTTCATACCGGAGCTAGATGGTACAAACAATTGGCGCCCACCGTGGGGCTTGATTGGTACATTCTTTTCATCTTATTTCTAAATGGAGGAGAAGATCTGTAAAGGAAAGAGGAAGCTCAAGAAAGACAGGGAAGGAGGAGCATCAAAGCTTGTAGAAAAGTCTCACTCACCTTTTCCATGGTGGGACAAAAGGGAAGCAGTGAGCCATTATCAGACAACCAACAAAGCGGAGGGGAAGGATGAGCAGCACCAGGAAGACTGCAGAGCCAAAAAATGCGACGGAAAGAAGGGAAGACCACAGATTCCGCCAACCTCCCTCATCGGAGCCTTGCACAGAGCCGAAGTTTAGATAAAGCAGTGAATATCGTCATGTCTCCCTCCTACTGCTCGTCTGCAGTAGATAGCCTCGGGAACAGAGAAAGAAGAAAAGACTGGTTGACTTCCTTTCTCTGTAAAAAAAAAAAAGGAGAGGGCAGAGTTACCGAGACAACTTTATCTAAGTTGGTTTCAGCCTGGACGGGAAGTACGTCAGCGACCGCGCAAGAAGGAAGGCGGCACGACGCACTTCTCTACAGCAGTGGCGCTAGAGGAGGATGCACGCTCCCGCCAACAGCAGCGCGACAAGCGGCGTCGGCTCTCCCAGCAGTGGCGCGACCAAACAACGGCAACTCTCTCGGTCTCCGCTTCGCCAAAATTCTATGGCGACATTGCGCCTCACACTTCCCCGTGCACTACGCTCTCTCCATCTTTCCTTCGAAGAGCTACTCTACGAACGCCAGTTGACGTTCGGATCATCCACGCGCACGACAGTCTCCTCCCCTGCTCTCCGCTCCTACAGTATCTGCTGCTCTCATTGGCGGCAGAGCCGCGCTTCTCGCTCCTCCGCTCTCTTTGGACGCCGCCCCCGCACTAGCAGCTTCTCCGCGCGGTCAGGCATCTGTCTCCCTCTCCTTCCCCCCGCCGGCAATAGTTTCACCAATTCGATTTTCCCGCCACGATGCTCCACAGTCCTTCAATTCCAATCTCTATTCCCTACCACGGAAACCTCTGAAAATAACCGCGAAATCCGAAAAAACCCAACTCTCAAACCGCAAAACCAATCCCAGAATCCAAACCCAAATCGAGTCCGATGACGACGACGGCGGAATCCCCAAGGAAGACATCAAAATCATCGCCCGATTCAAGTCCAGGCACAACTACATCCGCGTCCTCGAGGTCTCCAGAAGAGCCACAGACCACCCCCTCGCTGGCTCTCGCCTCCTCCTCCTCGACGCTCCGGGAAACATCCACAACATCTCCTTCCTCGTCAAGTCCCTCACCGACACTTACTTCGACGTTTTCGCCAACTGCCGCCAATTCTCTCCGCCCGGGCAAAAGCAGCAATAAACTTTCTCATTTGAAGAAGAAGATGAATCCGCACTTGAGGAAGAAGATGAATCAGCGGACGCCAAATGATAAAAAAAGAGAAAACTTTCCCCTCTTTGGGCCTGCACATTCATCCCACATGAGCATACATTCAGTGCTCACGCAGCAATAAACTCTCGGCCCAGAGATCGCCAAGACAGTTAAAAAAAAATCCACAGCATCTCCTTCCTCGTCAAGTCCCTCACCGACACTTACTTCGACGTTTTCGCCAACTGCCGCCAATTCTCTCCGCCCGGGCAAAAGCAGCGCCATTTGAAGAAGAAGATGAATCCGCACTTGAGGAAGAAGATGAATCAGCGGACGCCAAATGATAAAAAAAGAGAAAACTTTCTCCTCTTTGGGCCTGCACATTCAGCCCACATGAGCATACATTCAGTGCTCACGCAGCAATAAACTCTCGGCCCAGAGATCGCCAAGACAGTTAAAAAAAAAAATCTACTGGGTTTTGAGCCCGGGTCGTCTGCTGGGTGCATGTCTGGTGGCAGACGTTTAGCCAATGCGCTAGACGGGCAATTGGTGATATTAAGGCGGGACGCCGTTATTTCACTAGCTTTGCCGTCCATCCAGCGGTCACACACATCCCACCTACCAGCGCGAAGCCCGCCTCCATCTCGCGATCCATAAGGCCAACTCCTGCGCCGCCTCTGGACCACCAGGCACGCAACTCTTCAAAAATAAAGGCGTCGATGCCAATACTCGAACTCGTGACAATATTCCGTCGGACAAGCAAGGTTACCAGCAGGCTACAAGCGAGCCTCGTGATTCAATGGTGCAGCGCCTACCTTTGAACTACTTCTCCGCGCCACCCTACAGCCAATGCTTGCGGCCCACCGCCACAACTCGCATCAAAAAATATCGCCGCCACCAGTCCTCGAACCCGCGCTAATCCTCCGCTAGACAAGCAATATCACCAGAAGGCTACATGCGGACCATGTGTTTCAATGGCGCGGCGTCTGATGTTTAACTACTCACGCCCACTCAGTTCCACGGAACAAACAAAAAGTCGCAATAGTCATGAACTATTCGCGCCCACTCAGTTCCACGGAACAAAAAATAGCAATAGTCATGAACTATTCGCGCCCACTCAGTTCCACGGAACAAAAAATAGCAATAGTCACTAACTATTCGCGCCCACTCAGTTCCACGGAACAAAAAGTCGCAATAGTCACGAACTATTCGCGCCCACTCAGTTCCACGAAACAAAAAATAGCAATAGTCACGAACTATTCGCGCTCACTCAGTTCCACGGAACAAAAAGTCGCAATAGTCACGAACTATTCGCGCCCACTCGGTTCCACGGAACAAAAAATAGCAATAGTCATGAACTATTCGCGCCCACTCAGTTCCACGGAACAAAAAGTCGCAATAGTCACGAACTCTTCGCGCCCACTCAGTTCCACGGAAAAAAAAAAATTTGTCGCCACCAGGAATCGAGCCCGCGCCACTCCTTCAACATTCAAGCACACTGACCAGCAGTCTACAAGTCGAGTTGTGAACATTCACGTGATAGCCCTATTTCAACAAACTTTGCTGCCGCCTCTCCAATATAAAGTTAAGTACTCTATCCATCCATCATTATTAAATATTGAAATATTTTACTTTCATGAGCGCTGATGGCGCCAATGGGGGGCAAGACGCAAGAAGCTGGCATCGCGTCAGTCAAACGCGCCACCAGCTGAGGGGCAACTGGGGTACATAGGGCCCCACCCAAAATTACCGACGAAGATTTAAAAAATAAAATATAAGCTAGTGATGAGTTAAAACTCACCACCAGCTTGGGGGGCAATTGTTGGGGGTGTTGCTAAGAGACTCCTCGCAGAGACTAAGTAATACCGCGTCCAATCGACAACGTATGACGCTCTAAACCCGCTACGAGTATATAAAGGTATGAAACCCACCAAGGAAAGGGACTTCTCTCTCCCCACACTTTCCACTTTCTACTATCTCTCTACATTTTATCTCTCTATCTATTCTCTCAACTCTCCCCACAAACATACACTGACTTGATCGTCGGAGCTTAATCCGGGGGGCAACCCCGGCTCTTTCACAGGTTCTCTCCTTCCCGACGAGATCGGACGAACAGATGACGAGTCAACCCACACCAACAAATATCATTGTTCATACCGGAGCTAGATGGTACAAACAATATATATATATATATATATTGTGCAGCTAGGGTTTGCTATATGGGAGCCACCACATGGTCGTTATGGGTTCTTCTGTTATCCGTGGAAAAACTATGTGAAACTAAGTGGAGCTTTAAGGCATTGTGCTTTCATGGTCATCGCTATGCATGGATGCATTCTTTCTGAAATCCAAGTACTTAACAAAATCCTTTTGCTGTTCACCTCTTACTTATACATGTGCCCTAATTCGTCCACCTTTTCCCTCTTGGTTCTAGGCACTACCAGAAAAGAGACAGGTCTTCGCCAGCGAGCTACAAAGAGTAGGAAACGAAGGAGCCAAAGTACTCCACAAACTCGGAACCAAACTAGAGAAAATGGAGAAGCTGAGCCCAGGAGTAGACCTACTACTCCAAGTCCACGAGGCAGCAGAAGAACTACAAACCAAAGTAGACCTCAGATCCTACCTCTTAGTCAACTCAGAAAGCTGGGCATCAAGCGGGAAACAGCCCAAGAAATTCGAGAATCAGCATCAAAATCATGCAAAAGATGACAATACCAACATTATTGCGAGCAGGAGCAGCATCCTGCGCGAATGGACGTCGTTGTCGTCGGAGAGCATCCCGCAGCCGCTGTTATCGTGGCCGAAAGTCTCGTTTGAGGCGGGCCGACGCCTGTTTTGGAGCAGGATTCGAAGGTGTACGAGAGTGCTAGCTCGCTATCTCTGGCCACGTTTTCTTCTTTGTTGATTGAGTTTGTGGCCAGGCTTCAGAACCTTATTGACGAGTTTCAGGAGCTTGGTGAGAAGGCTGTCAAGAACCAGTTGCTCCAATAACTCGAGTTGTTGTGAGAGGTTCAATCGTGGATCATATACAACAACACTAACACGCCCCCTCAAATGAAAGCCACTCACAAGGGCTTGAAGTTTGCACAGGTCTGAAGACAAGAATACCATGTGCTTAACAAATGGGAGTCACCAGGAATCGAACACAAGACCTCTCGGTCACAGAAGGCTCTGATACCATGTCAAGAACCAGTTGCTCCAATAACTCGAGTTGTTGGGAGAGGTTCAATCGTGGATCATATACAACAACACTAACAAAGGCGAGGTTCAAAGAAGAGCAGTTTGGTGGGAATGTGGCAGATCCTGGATTCTGGACTAAGCTTAAAAGATGCTTTCATGTTTAAGTAGTTGCACTCCTAGTGGTAATTATAGTTATACTGACTTATACAAGAAAATGAATTGATTAACGTTGAGTATTTGGGTCAATAAAACACTACCATTATCACATGAGAACAAGGTGCAAAGAAAAGGAAAGGGGGAACAAGATACAGGGACACAGTTGACTATTTCCAAAAATGGGAATCGGGAAGCAGCTGGCAAGGAAGCAAATCAAATTCTGCCCATTTTGGCGACACCCAACGGTCCCTCGCATCAACAGAATCGAGCCCAAGAAAGGAAGGTAAGTAACGTGAAGAAAAGTGGTGATGATGGGAAAAAAGGAAAGGGGAAGGCAACTAATGACCCAGCAGGAAAAGCGAAAGGGCTTCTTGGGCCAGGGCCCAAATCAGAAGCCTGCTCCACAAGTCCGAAGCAGCCCGTGCAAGAAGGGGCTTCATCCTCGTTCATCCAGCTGGGATCGACCGTTAGCCAGCCAGCTCCTCTGAACAACCCAGATGCGGCGAGTGGGCCCACAGTCCAGAATCCAGCTTCCGGCCCACCCCAACCTCCAATATTCCGGTCGGTAATGAGCCCTAATGGTACATTGATGCAGATTGTCGAAAACCCACATTCACCGAA